CCTGGTAGAATGGTCTGGGGACTGGAAAGACCTTAAAATACTTGCAATACACAGCATCAAAAGTTACCTGAAGCATATGAGCCTAAAAGAATACCTTTATTGCAGAAAGGAAATTATAATGTTCCCCTTCACAACAGGGGAATCGGTCAGAAGTTTCTGATCATTAACTCCTTAAGAACTAAAAGCATGCCACCCCTGACATATACTAAAGGGATTGCCAAACTTTCAGGTCCCCAAGGGATAAAAGAGAATACTGACTATAAATATAAAATGTATGCTTTAAGGAAATGAATTCAGATTTAAAGAATAAAAGGTTATGACCAGGTGAAAGAAAAAACAATATTAACAGCTTTTAAATCAGGTAATGGCTTCAGCGTTACCTACTTATGAGATCAATTAATAGCCAAATTTGTGCTCCTGCAACCAGCATGATCTACTAAGCTGTGCATTAGTAATCAGCATATATCTGAAGGTAAAACACTGTCACCAATTGAAAAAAAAAAATCTTGTACAGAGAGGAGAGGATACCTGGCAATAGAAAACCTTTTGTAGAATGGTCTCATGTATAATTACATAGATGTGCACACAAAAAAGCATTGGTTCTGTTAAACATTCTCATGCTCCATTTTGGAAAAACAGGTCTCCCTCTCTCCTGGGAGAGGCACTCAGACAGGTTCGGTAACACCTGCAATCTATCTGAAGTGGTAAAATGTGTTAATTGCTTATCCTGAAACACCTGTGGGAGAAGGAATCTAATACAAAGCCAAAAGCAGTATGTTTCCTTATCTACTTCATTTAAAAAACTGAAATAGGAAATCCACAGTAGGCAATAATATTACCCAGTACAACAGTGCATTTGTATTTGCTAGAATTGGGCAGTGCTACATTTCAGCGCAAAACAGACCTTAGATCATTTGTATATATTAACCCCTTAAGACCGGAGGGCGTACTATTATGCCCTATTTTAGGCGGCTCTAATCGCCGCCGGGCGTAATAGTATGCCCTCCGGTCTTTCCTTACTTACCCGGTGGTCCCACGCCGGCGATCGTGGTGGGGGGACGCCCAGGGAGCCCCCCCGCGGAAGATACTCCTCCTCCGGTGCCCCCCGGCCATGTGAGAGTGAGGTCCTTGCGAGGACCTCACAATCACATGGCCGGGTAGTCTGCCTCCTGTATTGCCAGCAGGGGGGCTGCCTGTAATGACAGGTGGTCCCCCTGCTGGCTGAAAATAAAAATAAAATAAATTAAGTGTAAAAAAAAAATATAGACAGTAAAAAAGGGAGAAATTCCTTAAAGAATGTAGCGCTTATACAATAAGAAACAATGTTATCACCTTTTGGTAATTGAACGACAAAATTTTTTTTCCTCCCCTTATCCAGGTGTCCAATAAGTAGTTTATCTATAAAAGATAATCATACATAGTGCAGATAGTATATAACTGTACATTCATATATCTATATATGGTATTGTTCACTCACAAACAGAGAGCTGCGGACCCAGCTCTAGTTGAAATCACTCTCGGGTCCGTATAGGCGACCCACCCTTGTTTAGGATGTATGTCTTGTCCTACAGGGAGATAAATGGACCGGAGATAGCGTAGCACAGTCTGTGATAGTTAAAATAAAGATATCAATCCCAAATGGGTACTTACAGACAAAGAGTCCAAATTGACTCACTTCTTGAGCAATGTGCAGATTAGGGGACTGCACTCCCAAATGTAAAACGATGGATGGAGAACCAGATAAAAAAAAAAAAAAAATGTTATTAACACAGTATAAAAAAAATTCAAATAAAATCGGAACAATGTCCAAATAAAAACCAGAACGCGTTTCACCACACAAGCGTGGCTTCCTCAACCGGATCGATGTGCTGAATGCCATTAGGTTCCCTGTCTCCATTTAAATACCCTTCTTAATGGTTCCATGTGATACAGGTGTGTATCTCCCACACACGTCATTACCACTTGCAGGTAGGACGTGTGTGGTCCATGCCTCGTTTTCACACCGTCATCTGATGCTGTCCTCGCCTCGTTTTCACTTCCGCATCTTCAGATTGTTTAATTGTTCGTTCCATCAAGCTGTCACCATCGGACTGTCTTTATGTTCACACAATTCAGACATCCTTCTTTGCAATATAATTTATAATCATTAAACAAACATATTTCGATTGAACAAACACATTTCAATTATATTTTTTCGTCATGTGAAAATCGGCCCGTTGACTTGCAGGGTTTCGTAGTTTGTGATTGAACATATTGAAAAAAAGACAAAAAGAGAAAAAGGATGATATCAATTCCTGAAAATAATTTCAAGTTTAACCCCAAACATACTTCTTCTGTTAGCATTCTTTTTTACAATATTACAAAAAGAATCTGCAGAGCCTCTGTATAAAGGTTCATTTTATAATGATCCTTATGTTGCTGAAAGTAGATTATAAAAAGTGACAGAGTTCGAAATCAGAGTTCAGTCCGTTAGGAATTAACGTGTTTAATTTATAAATCCACTTCATCTCTGATTTTCCTAATTCTCTAATAAAGTCTCCCCCTCTCCAATTTCGTTCTATTCTTTCTAGACCCATAAACATTAAACCTTCAGGATTTTGGTTATGAAATTCTTTAAAGTGACTAGAGACACTATGTTGTTCAAAACCCTTTTGGATTTTGTAAATATGCTCCCTGACCGTCACATGTAGGGGTCTCGTTGTACGACCCACATATTTTAACCCACAAGGGCAGGTTAAGAGATAAATCAAATTCTTTGTAAAGCATGTCATTAATTGCCTAATCGGTAATTTTGCATTCCCATTTAAAGGTATATCCTTAATTACCCTTCTCTTACATCTAGATTTTTTGCAAGATTGGCATGAGCCACAACCATAGAAACTTTTCTCATCTTTGAAGGGGAGGAAAAAAAATGTTGTCGTTCAATTACCAAAAGGTGATAACATTGTTTCTTATTGTATAAGCGCTACATTCTTTAAGGAATTTCTTCCTTTTTTACTCTCTGAATTTATTGGTGACATTGAAGGAGTCACAAGAATGTTTAGCAGCTAAATTTATTTATTATCTCAGTATATATATTTATTTATTGGGAACAATAAGCGCTGAGTCCTTAACTCTTTTTTCTTGTAAAAAAAAATATATATATACTTAGATCATATATATATATTATATATATATGATCTAAGTATATATATATACACATATACATACACACACATACACTGTCTAGGTGTATTTTACTATTAATATATATATAATTTTATATATATATATATATATATAAATATCAAATTACACGTAGACTGATACTGATTAAATATATTTATAATTATTGTTATATATATATTTATATAAAATATAAAAAAAAATGTAAATACGTTAAATAAAATAAAATAAATAAAAAAGAATAAAAAAATATATAGATGTGTGTTATTTCGTTACTAACTGTATTGTGATATTAATATATATATATTTATATCAAAATACACGTAGAAAGAAATAATATATTTATATCTATATACATAAATATATACGTATATATCACTATATATATACCTATATATAAATAAAAATATTTTTAAAAAATTATATATATAAATATACATATATATTCACATACGTATATATATATATATATATATATATATATATATATATATATACATATATTAATTCTATATATATATTTATGTAATATTTTTACATAATTGGGTATCTTAATTAATTACAATTAGCGGGACCTGCCTGACAACCCATGCCGAAAGTAAAGGGAATTTAATTCTGCCTCTGTGTCATAGTAACTCATACATAGAGCATGTAGTGGATACATATGCTGAGGCTGTGTCATAGTGCAATAAACGTTTAACTCGCAAGTTGGAATAAACTTGGAATTAATAATAACATTAATAACTAAAAATAATAACTTAAAAACCGAGTGTAAAGTCAGAGTCCACACTCCTTGCTTTCGGCAATTCAATAATATTTATTAATAAAGGCTAATCAAACAAATAAACAATACATATACATTTGAAATAGGCTAGCATATGTTGCTACTAAAACTAGTCATTGACTGAATGGAAAGTAGGCTAAACTAACACAGTAAAACAGGCATAGACACGTGATACAGTTACCACTCCATTGATCAGCAGCTGAGAGTAAGAGAGAGGGTGTGTATAGTGGGGAGAGGGGAGAGAGAAGGTGAAGAGAGGTAATTCAAAGAGAGAGAGAATGTGCTATTCACAGGGCTTTAAACAGGTTAGCCCCTCCTTCTGCTGGACACACCTCCCTCAGTCAATCCCTTAGGATGTAACAGACCCAGAGTGCCTCCTGGGGGAAGGGGAATTGCATTGGAAGGGAATGGAGGAGGAGTTTATCAACAACCCAACTGATTTTGCCTGGTGAAAGGCCATGTGCTTCACAGAGGACTCCATTATTGCCTAAGGGTGGAATGGGGGCTTGAATCCCTGTTTCAGAACACAGTAACACTTCATTGGCATACAGTTTGGCTGTTAATCACATCCCCCCACTTATTACACATAGTAACTCATACAAAGAGCATGTAGTGGATACATATGCTGAGGCTGTGTCCTCATAGTAACTCCTATAGAGAGCATATAGAGGATACATATACTGAGGAGATGTCCTCACAGTAACTCTTACATAGACCATATAGTGGATATATATATATATATATATATATATATATATATATAGAAGCCGTGTCCCATAGTAACTTATACCAAGAGCATATAGTGGGTACATATACTGAGGCTGTATCCTCATAGTAACTCATACATAGAGCATATACTGGACACACACTGAGACTTCATACCAATTCATACATTAGAGTGTATAGTGGAAACATACTGATGCTGTACCACCCAGTGGCGGATCCAGAGCCTGATCTCGGGAGGGGCACTTGTAGATTATTTAAAGAAATAATCCAGACACAATAACCACTACAGCTCAGTGTAGTGGTTATGGTGTCAATAGTGCCGGGACCCCCTCCCACAGTAAGTAGTCAAACCGTTTAAGAACAGTTTGACAACTTACCTGAGATCTGCTGGGAAATGGGGCTGTAGTAGGGCATAGGAGCAGTGTGTGTGTGTGAGTGGTGCAATGTGTAAGGGGTGCAGTGTGTGTGTGAAGGTTGTAGTGTGTGAGTGAGGGCGGCAGTGTATGTCAGGGATGCAGTGTATGTGTGGGACAGTATGTGTGTGTAACAGTTGCAGTGTGTGTGTATGGGGGGCAGTGTGTGTGTATGGGGGGGCAGTATGTGTGTATGTGGGAGCAGTGTGTGTATGTGGGGGCAGTGCGTGTGTATGAGGGGCAGTTTGTGTGTATGGGGGCAGTTTGTGTGTGTGTGGGGCAGTATGTGTGTATGGGGAGCAGTGTGTGTATGTGTGTGTGTATGGGGGGGCAGTGTGTGTGTATGGGGGCAGTTTGTGTATGGAGGCAGTTTGTGTGTATGGGGGGGCAGTGCGTGTGCATGAGGGGCAGTTTGTGTGTATGGGGGGGCAGTTTGTGTATGGGGGGGGTGCGTGTGTATGAGGGGCAGTTTGTGTGTATGAGGGGAAGTGTGTGTGTATGGGGGCTGTTTGTGTGAATGGGGGGGCAGTATTGGGGGCAATGTATGTGTGTGTGGCTTTTTTTTTTTTTTAATAATATATATTTTTTTTATTTAATTAAAATAAATATTATCCTATGTCCCCCCTCCCTTCTTACCTTTACTGGGGAGGAGGGGGGACATATTTCGATCCCTGGTGGTCCCAGTGGAGGATTCCCTGGTGGTCCCAGTGGGGACAGTGAACTCTAGCCCGCGCTCCCGGGCTAGAGTTCACTCTCGCGAGATTTGGAGCGTTGCTGTGGTAACCGCGGCAACGCTTCAATTCTCACGAGAGGAGGACCCGGAGGAGCTGCAGGCTGAGCTCCGGGTCCTCCCTCTCACTCCCTCCCTCCCCCGCTGCCTCTCAGCACAGTGCCTGCGGACCGGGGTGGGAGATCTCTGATCTCTGATCTCCCCTCCGGTCCGCAGGCACATTGCAGGGCTGGCAGGGGAGGGAGAGGGAGACCGGCGGATTTCTCGGGGGGGGCAATTGCCCCATTGCCCCCACCCTGGATCCGCCACTGGTACCACCACCAGTTTATGTACAGATACTGAGGCCCAGTGGTCTCCTGTGCAGTATATTCTTCCACTGTCTGCAAAGCCTGCTTATTTGTGATAATGCACAGATAACAGCAATCAATGCCATATACCTTGGTTTTTAAAACCTGTCATATACATGTGTGTACCTTAAAGGACCACTATAGTGCTAGGAAAACATACTCATTTTCCTGGCACTATAGTGCCCTGAGGGTGCCCCCACCCTCAGGGTCCCCCTCCCGCCCGGCTCTGGGGAGAGGAAAGGGGTTAAAACGTACCTTTCTCCAGCGCCGGGCGGGGAGCTTTCCCCCTCTGATCCTCCTCCTCTCCTCCCTTTCGGCTGAATGCGCACGTGGGGCAAGAGCTGCGCGCGTATTCAGCCGGTCTCATAGGAAAGCATTCATAATGCTTTCCTATGGACGCTTGCGTGTTCTCACTGTGATTTTCACGCAAGCGTGCAATGAGACAGCCACTAGAGGATTTGAGGGCTGGATTAACCCATATATAAACATAGCAGTTTCTTTGAAACTGCTATGTTTATAAAAAAAATGGGTTAACCCTAGCTGGACCTGGCACCCAGACCACTTCATTAAGCTGAAGTGGTCTGGGTGCCTAGAGTGGTCCTTTAATCAGACACCCAAGAAGGTTCTCTTACCTTGGATATTTCTCTGTCTTCAGGCTATGGAATTCAAGCAGACTTTATACAGCCAGGATATCCATTATTAGCACTCTTTTTCACAGTATCTCATTGCATTATCAGCACTCCTTTGCCCAATGCCTCCTTGCATTATCAGCACTCTTTTTGCATTATCAGCACTACTTTGCCCAATGCATACTTGTATTATCAGCACTCTTTTGCACCAAACATCCTTATAAACTTACCTAAATGCTCACCACACAAATCTCCTAAATGTGACCTATTTTTTAGAAGGAAGCCTAATGTAAGCAGCTGGGAGGGACTGAAAGAACAGAGACCCAGGTGCCTATACTAGTTTTAATCTAAATTACTAATGTACTTACCTGAACCATTGCAGGCCTGTGTTTCAGCTGCAAAAAGGGGATCTGAACAACTGACAGCCTAAACTGTTTAAACTATAGGCTTCCATCTGTACCCCATATGCCGTTCATCATCACCATACAAGATGGAATACATAGAATAGGTATACCCCGGTAGTCACAACTCTTTTGGGCCTCATGTATGCAGTGTATCGCTGTCATCCCCTCAGGGAGAGAGATAGGTTAGACTCCTGATTGCTGAAGGAGGTACCCAGGCTGGAAACTCTTACACATGTGCTGTTTGCTGGGTCTTCAGGGATAAGGTCTTAGACTCAACTGGGCCTCATGTATGCAGTGGACTACTGTCATCACTTCCGAGAGAGATAGGACAGACCCCTGGTTGCTGAAGTAGGAACCCAGGCTGGCAACTCTTACCGATATGTTGTTTGCTGAGTCTTCAGGGGTAAGAGGCTGAACCCTGGCCTGGCTTCATGTAGGCAGTATATCACATACATCCCCTGAGGGGGTACCCAAGCTGGCCTGTTGCTGGGTCTTCAGGGATAAGAGGCTGAACCCTGGCATACAGTGGACCATTTTCATCCCTTTCAGGGAGAGGTTGGGTCCGACCCCCGTTCACTAAAGGGGGTACCCAGGCTAGCCACTTCATCTTAGTGCGTTTTGCTGGGTCTTCAGGGCTTAGAGGCTGAACCCCGGCAGGGCCTAAAAAATATTGCCTGGTGAGCATAAAAGAAAAAATCTAGACCTGCTTAAGCAGACTCCTTCCAAACTGCTGTGAAGGACAGGAAAAAACACTGCCTGATGGAAAGGGGGAGGATCTATTTATACCAGTTTCAAATTTCTATTTCCTGTCCTTTCTGCTGTAATGGGAGGAGCTAACCCATGAGTAAATGCTGCCATGAATAATGGTCAGGAAATATATATATATATATATATATATATATATATCAGTTTTATTCGTGAAGATATATTACTTTTCTTATACCTCTCTTTCCCAAAATATATACAATGTCACTGTAAAATAATTGATTTTGGACTAGTATCTAAATATGAACTAAAATGAAATATGAAAAATATACTGTGACTATTTTAGTTGGGAAAAAATACTAAATATTTATACAAGTTACCGTAAATTGCACAACTGCACTCACGACCCCAACACATGAACACATATGTATAATGTTCCATGAATAGATCATTAGAATTCATCTTTGGGGAAAACCAACTATTTACTAATGTAGTTACTGGTAGCAATCTGTACACTTCTACAATTATTTAAGTCCTGGTGGAGTAACACATAAATGGTTCCGTCTGCTAAAAAAACAAAATACTTCCTTTAGGTCATCTTTTCATTCCTAGAGATCTTATTATTATTTATTTTTTGTAAATATGTTTTTTATTATTTCAAGAAGTTTTAAAAAGTGAACACACAAAGATGTGGCTCTCAGGCATCAAGTGAATATTGATCCTATCCCTTTCTGGCCCAGTGCCATCTCCTGGCCCAGTGCCATCTCCTGGCCATCCAGGCATGATGTGTTAGTTCCCCCATTACATCCATCACCACCAAGTAGTAGGGACCCCTTCATGCCTAGACCTGTGTCGGGATACTGTCTAAAAGATTGCAGTTATGGTTAGAGGGCAAGAAGAGGCAGGTTTGTTTAGTGCCTTTGTGTATGGTGAAGGGGTCTGTAAAGTGTAATATACAATGCACATATTCAAATAAACATTTTAAGACTTTAGCTCTCATAACGGGGAATAGAAAATCCTAGCTCACCTTTAAAAGGCCTTCTTTGTATCTGTGAACAGCAGGAAAAGCCCCTTGTTCCATTTCTGTACCTGGTGGATTAAGGAGACTGTCCTGGTGGTGTTGTCCCTGGCTTCTCTGTGTGCTGTTAAGCCTACCTGGCCAGCTTCTAAGAGAATATGTAGATATGGCAGCAGCCTGAAAGCAAATAACTTTTAGTTACAATTTAGGAGGGATATGGGTCTGTAGTAAGCAAACTGCAGCAGATCCTTGTCTTCTTTTAATATGAGGGATATGTTAGCTGCCAGGGTCTGGGAGGAGATGGCATGGCCCTGTGTAATAGAGTTAAAAGCTGTCAAAAAGTGTAGGTATAGGATATAAGCAAATAGTTTGTAGGGCCTGGGCATTTGCCCGTTTTTGGTCCCTTGACCTCATCAGCCAGTCCTTCCATTGTCAAGGGTTCAATATTCAGTGTCTCAGTGGGAATTTTTGTATGGACGAAAACCTCCAGGTATTCCTGAATAACAGTAGCTGTCCCGATTTTAGATGAGGAAGAATAGTGGGTTCATAAGGGAGTACAGATTTTAATACTATTTGTGCTATACTACTTGATTGTGCTACTTTCATTAAACTCTGGCTGCTCAGGACATGTAAGAATAAACAATTAATGAACAATTAATGTGTGTGTGTGTCTCTGTCATTATGTATGTATGCAAGTGTTTGTATACAGTGAGGGAAAAACGTATTTGATCCCCTTCTGATTTTGAATGTTTACCCAGTGACAAAGAAATGATCGGTCTATAATTTTAATGGTAGGTGTATTTTAGCAGTGAAATAACAGAATAACAAAAAAACAAAAACTGAAAAACGTAAGTCTAAAAAGTTCTTAATTAATTTGCATGTCAATGAGTGAAAAAAGTATTTGATCCTCTATCAATAAACAAGATTTCTGGCTCCCAGGTGTCTTTTATACAGGTAGCAAGCTGAGATTAGGAGCACTCTCTTAAAGGGAGTGCTCCTAATCTCAGTTCATTACCTGTATAAAAGACACCTGTCCACTGGCCAAGACCAAAGATTGTAGACCTACGCAAGGCTGGAATGGGCTACAAGACCATCTCTAAGCAGCTTGGTGAGAAGGTGACAACAGTTGGTGCAATCATTCACAAATAACTGTCAGTCTCCCTTGGTCTGGTACTCCATGCAAGATCTCACTTCGTGGAGTTTCAGTGATCATGAGAATGGTGAGGAATCAGCCCATAATGACACGGGAGGATCTTGTCAATGATCTCAAGGCATCTGGGACCATAGTCACCAAGAAAACAATTGGTAACACACTATGCCATGAAAGACTGACATCCTGCAGCCCCTGCAAAGTCGCCCTGCTCAAGAAAGGACATGTACAGGCCTGTCTGAAGTTTCAGAGGAG